CCACAACCACGACCACTACAACAACCACAACCACGACCACAACCACGACCACTACAACAACCACAACCACGACCACTACCACCATAACCACATCCACAACCACAATCACCACAACCACATCCACAACCACAACCACCACTTCGACGACAACGACAACCACAACCACAACCACAACCACAACCACAACCACGACAACTACAACAACCACCACCACCACCACCACTACCACCACCTCGACAGCCACCACCACAACCACAACCACGACAACTTCCACCACCACAACCACGACCACAACAACAAGCACCGCGTCAACAAGCTCTGGCTCTGGCTCAGGCACATTGTCTTTCAGCCCAACAACGACGACAACGACCACCACTACCACCACCACAACGACAACAACCACATTCACGACGACAACAACGACAACAACAACAACAACAACAACAAGTACGACGACAACGACAACAACAAGTACGACGACAACAACAAGTACGACGACGACGACAACAACGACAACAACAACAAGTACGACGACAACGACAACAACAAGTACGATAACAACGACGACAACAACAACGACGACAACAACAAGTACGACAACAACAACGACGACGACGACGACGACAACAACAACAACAACGACGATGACGATGACGACGACAACAACAACAACGACGACGATGACGATGACGACGACAACCACCACAACCACCACCCCCACCACAACCACAACCACTACCTCCACCACAACCTCCACCACAACATCAACAACATCTTCTGGGTCTGGGTCTGGCACCATTACCTTCACGCCCTTCACCACGACCACGACTACGACCACGACGGCCACAACAACCACCACTTCAACAACAAGCACGTCATCTGGGTCCGGGTCAGGCACGATTACGCTGACACCATTTACGACGACAACCACGACGACGACGACCACCACGACGACGTCACCTAGTTGTTTGGATGACGCGTTTGAGAACAACGACAGCCTGGAGACGGCGTCGTTGCTCTCTGGCCCCAACGGCACGCTAAGCGCCACCATCTGCTCACTTGACGCCGACTTTTACAGCATCTTCCTGTGTGCCAACGGCAACCTATCTGTGCACCTGTACTTTGACCATGGGCAGGGCGACCTTGATTTGCAACTGCGCAACCTGGACGACGAGTGGGTGGCGCTGTCGGAGTCGTCCAACGACAACGAGCACTTTATGTACATGGAGCCCAACGGCGTCCCTGCATTCCACTACATCCGCGTGTACGGGTTTGATGAGGCAGAGGCCAGCTACACGATGCAGTACCACCTCGAGTGCCCCGTTACAACCACAACGACGACAACAACAACAACGACCACGACAACCACAACCACGACGACAACGACCACCACCACGGACAGCATGGTTCGCTGCTCCCCGAGCATCCCTGCTCTGCCATTTGGTGCAACGGCAGATTGCAAGGGCGTTGATCACGGTGATACCTGTGTGGCGGAGTGTGCGAATGGACTTGTGGAGACGGGCAACCCCGCATACGAATGCCGCGATGGGGAGTGGGTTGGTGGCTGTCGCTTTACGTGCACGAGCTGGATGCCACATGAGGACAACATCTACTTGTATTCTCGCCGCGTCAACGCGGCCCGGCTCCCGTACAGCAAAGCTGCGCAGGTGTGCCAAACGCTCGGCGCCACGCTGGCGACCATTGATGACGAGGATGAGAACGCGTTCATCTTTGGCCTGAACCCACGCACGGAATCGCTGCGGTGGATTGGCCTCCGCCGTGACGATGTGGACAACAGCACCTTCACCTGGGTTGATGAGCAGGAGCGCAGCTTCGTCTCGTGGCAGGAGAACCAGCCCATGGATGCAGCAAGCAACCGGGATTGCGTGCAGATGGGTCACCCGACAGGCACCGTGGCTGGTGGCTGGTCTGTGAGCCGGTGCAGCATGAAGCGCCACTACGTGTGCAAGGCACCCGTGCCCGAGGTCGGTGACTGCGATGTTCCACCCGTCACCATCCCCGATGAGACCACGACGACAGCGACCACCACCACCACCACAACGGCTGCAACCACGACGCTCGAGCAAGGCACAACTGACTCCAACACCACCGCAAACCCGACAGCCACGACAACCACGACCACGACCACGACGACCACGACAACGCCGCCGCCGTTCTCGATCGTGCTGCGGGTTGAAGGTGCTGGTGAATGGGAGCAGCGGCATTCGTCGCCGTTTGACGGCCAGCGGTTCGCTGCCGTGTATGATTCGAGCAGGAGCACGCGGGTGGCGCAGCCGCTCAAGTCGCAGGTGGACTCATACCACACCTTCCTGCAGAGCTGCGCAGAGCTGGTGTACCAACAGGGCGGCGCTGCCATGTACGTGCGCGACGTACCTGACCGGTACCTCTGCTATTCGCTGACAGAGCCTGGCTTCTCCGTTAACACGGGCGAGACGTCCACCAGCTGGGTGTTCCTGCGCGACTGACCGCTCGAGGACGA